GATACTATGTAGCCGCCTATATTATATATATAGTCATTCTTATCAATGAGTCTTGAATAGGAATCAAATAAACACAAATATATATTTTATCATATTTTACATTTCTTATTTCAAATTGCACTTAACATGTCCACTTCAAAAATACACCTGAACTGTGCCACAACACTGTCGTGTGTGGCACAGTTCACAATTCTGATTTCCAACAATTCTCTTGTTTTAATGTAAAATGTTCTGTACCTACTGCCATCTAGTGATAATAAAATTACATGATTACGCCATGATTACGCCGCTAGTCACTACTACAGCAAAAACACTCAAAGATGGCATTATTTGCAGATAATTAATTCGATTTCAAAAAAATCTTTTAAGACCAATCACCGTATTTTCCGGACTATGAGTGCACCATACTATAAACCGTACCTTAAAATTTTTTGAACCCCTCCCCTTACATATAACCGTATATAAACTTACATATATCAGCGGCACCGGGCTACAGGCGGCTGGTATCTCTGCCGCTCTCGGTTTCCCATAAGGACCCAGCAGAGGGCTGCGTCCAAATGACTGCTGGATATATGAAGGACGCAATTCTCCGTCTCCAAATCCGGTTTTGTTCACGCCGAGTTTATGTGCAGCGGCTTTATTTCCCAGATTGATACTCCTCAGCATAGAAGCTGCATCATATGAGTTTGAAAACATTTCTCCGTCGTGCCTGCTGCTAGCATGTGCTTGTTCCAAATGAAAATTAGCGCGTTCTTCTTTGATTTCCAATTTTGACTTCCAATGATTCACTTCCTGCTAAAGTGGGCACTAAAGAGCCCCCTGGTGGTTGAAGAAAAATCCATAGAAACGCCGCATGTTCAAAGTGTAGGAAAAAAGTAGCGGCTTATAGTTCGGAAAATGCGGTAGGTGAAATTGGATAATTTCCACGGCACACCTGATGATCACTCACGGTACACTAGTGTGCCGCGGCACAGTTGTTGAAAAACACTGGCTTAGCCAATCAGTGCTTCGGAGGAGAACTGATTGAAGGAGTTCCACTCTCAGCATGCATTTGAACTTGTGTCTTTAATTACTTCAGCAAAGCTCACCGTTTTTACCAAATTCTGTAGCTTTCAGTGCACAGTGATCCCTCGCTACACTGTAAAAAAAAACTGTAAAAAAACTGGTAAATGTACCGTAGAAATTTGAAGGAAGTTTTCCGTTTTTTAGTTTTACAGGTATTTCTACTGTATTTTCAATTTTACGCATTGCATCATGGGAACAAGAACCTTCGCGAAGCGCGAAAACTGGTCAGACGACATTTCAAGCGCCCTAGCCAGACCCTGCAACATATATCTTTTGGACTTCGGTTGGATTAAGAGTTGGAGTTGCCTTTCTGCCACCTCCCTGGTAAAGTAAAATAAATAAGAACACTTTCTTTTCTATGAATAATATTTTGAAATATTTGTAGTTGACTTCGTGAGACTCTGGTGTGCCAGGAGTCTCACGATAATTTATACCTTTTTTTTTGTTTTTTTTACAATGCTGCGTTTGCTTGTGTATTATAAAAGTAAAACACGGTGACTGCTGTACTACTATTATTTATTTATTTGACCGAACTCAAAGTACCGGCCATTTTTTCAAGTCAAACTGAACTGGGCGCGTGAAAGCTAACCGTTCATGGCGTCATGCTACTTGTGTCTCAATCCTGCTTTTTAAAAAATGTCAAGCTGCAGTTGTTTTATTTGCTAAACATGATTTGATGTCCCGGTTGTTAACATAAAAGCAGGTGGCCATTTAACTTTCCATGTCAAGTTTGGGGATTTAGAATATGGGAAATGTCCTGGTAATTTTCTGCCAGTACATTTTCTGTAATTTAACAGGTTTTTTTTCCCATAATTTCACAGTTTTCTGTGTTTAAAATTTGACATATGAAAACTGTTAAATTACGGGGGAAAAACCCTGTTAAATTACGGAAAAAATTCTGCCGGAAATTCTGTCAAAAAAACAGAAAATGTACTGGCAGAAAATTACCAGGACATTTCCCTGTTTTTTTACGGAATTTTTTTTTACTGTGTATAACGCGGTTCACATTTCAGGGTCTCGCTGCTTCGCGGATTTTTTTTGTGCAATTTTTTTCACAGTGCGTTGTGTTCTGCGTCCTTATTGGCTAAACAGTCTCCGAGCTCCTTCTCTACCTGTGTGCCAACAAGGGCACAACTACATATTATTCAGGTGGATGCGAAAACATAAATCGGCGCCCCCCGCCCCCTCCCAGACGAAGACACGTGAAAGGTAAAACTCGCTACATTTGCATTTACACGTGCGCGAGGTGAAGAAGCGTAAGGGCACGGTGAAGTGTATGCGAAGGCATCATCGGGGCGCCGCCCCCTCCAGACGGGGTTTTGACGCCCCCTCTGGTGCAGCGCCCCTATGCGTTGCATGCGCTGCATACCCACTCTTTGCACCACTGTGTGCTAATAACGTATTTAAATATAAATAATACAGATTGGCCATTCAGGAGATGAAAGCTAAAAACTTTGAATGCGTGCTGGAAAAATCTGTGGCCAGAGGCTTGCTTGACGAGATCCATCGCTCTGCCGTAGATAAAGCTGTGAGTCTTGCGGGGCAGGTTGGAGGAGGCGGTTTAATGACATGACTCCGGTTCCCATTAAGGACCGATTGATGAACAGGTTTTGTTCTTTGGTTTCTACGTAGAGTATTTAATTATGCTGTATAATAATTGTAAAAACTAAAGGTAACTACTTCGCGGATTTCACTTATCGCAGGTTATTTTCGGAACGCAACCCCCGCGAAAAACGAGGGATCACTGTACTTCTAAATCTGCTCCTTAGTCGCATCTTTTTGGGGATGGTACTGCCTCTGGGGAGGCGCCGATTTATGTTTTCGCATCCACCTGAATAATATGTAGTTGCGCCCCTGCTCCTTCCTACAGATGAAACTATATCACAGATTTCAAAAGAAATTTAAAACGGGAGAACGCGGATAATATAGGAAATAGCGCCCCCTTCACTTCCGGATTGCAATGGTCCCATTTCCAAATAAGGTAAGAGACTGACAGTGGTCCGTCCCCGCCCCTTTCTGTTTGCTGCAGCGAGTTGTACTTGGTTTCTCTTGAAAAACTACGGATCTTTCATCAGACAGATTTTTTTTTTGACATTATGTTTCAAAACAGAAGATAATAAAATTACTGTGGTATCCTCAGTGATAGATAAATAAATAAAATAAGAAGGCATGTAAATATTTGTTAATTCAAATTCAATTCAATTAAAATGGCCTACTTTATTAATCTAAAAAGGGAAAGTAAATATTATTGTAGCTCATTAATTCAGTTTCAACGAGTAATTAAACATGGTGATGGCTGTTGGTAGCAAAGATCTTTTGAGCGGTCTGTATTACAGCAAATCTGAAGCTTCTGACTGAAGATATTCTGTTTTCTCAAGACAGTTTCATAAAGAGGATTGTCAAGGTTGACCCGATGAAGAATCCTTCTTTGCATAATCATCTCCAGAGGTTCCACTGTTGTCCCCAGAACAGAACCAGCCTTCTTATCAGGCTGTTGAACCCTTTTATATCCCTGATCCTGCTGGCCCAACTTGTCGGCAGAGAGATGATGCTCTTAACAACAAACTTATAAAGGGCCATAGAAAATCTGCAGCAAGATGCAATCTTCTAGACCTGTGCTGTAGATCTTCCCTGCCCCTTCTTATAGACAGCTTCACTGATGCGTCTCCAGTCCAGTCTGTTGCAGAGATGAACTGTAGCGGTATTTATATTCCTCAACCACCTCCACGTTTTCTCCCATGATGGAAATAGGGTTTGATCTAACCCTGTTTCTCCTGAAATCAACAATCATCTCCTTTGTTTTGTTTACATTCAAGATGAGGCGATTGTTCCCACACCATGACACAAAGCGGTCCACCAGTTCTCTGTACTCAGCTTCTTGCCCATCTCTAATACACCCAACAACTGCACAGTATTTCTGTAGATGACAGAAATCTGGACTTGTGCTGGACGTCTGAAGTGTACAGAGTGAAAAGGAATGGTGAAAGTACAGTGCTCTGTGGTGCTTCTGTGTTGCTGACCACCTGGTTAAACACGCAGTCCTTCAGTCTCACAAACTGTGGTCTGTTTATGAGGTATAGATTCAGGCGATTGTTGAGTCTTCAACCTGTGTCTTTTGGAGTTGATGACAAAGCAAATCAGGTTGAATTGTGTTTCTGCATTGGTGAAATCAAATAACATGATCCTCACAGTGCTGCCTGTTTTGTCTGAATGAGAATGGATTTGTTGAAGCAGGTATATGATGGCATCATCAACTCCAACACCATGGAGTTAATCTACCCTAAACAAACTACACTGACTAAGCTTGCCTGCTTATTCATGGCAGAATGAATAAACTTGTCTGCTTATTCATTGGCCAACAGGAGTCTCTCCATGACTTTCATGGTGTGGGATGTTAGGGCATCAGGTTTATAGTCACAGATGACTGATGGGTGAGTTTTATTTGATACCAGAATCCATCCATGTTTTCCATAACAGTGGAACCTTCTCTTTGGGTCAGGCTAAGGTTGAGAGGTGTTGCAAAATCCCACAGAGCTGCTCTGCTCAAAACTCTGGGGCTGACATCATCTGGACCTGCAGCCTTGTTCTGGTTCAGTCTCTCCAGCTGCCTCTTCACTTGACTTCTAGATTCAGAAAAGTCTCAATCAGTTATGCAGCGAACGGGTGTGTCTGCAGGGGGGGATGATGGAAAAAACAATTCCCTCAGCCAGGTGATTGTAGTCTTTATGCAACTGTATGTATCTATACTGATAAATACTAATGGCCAAATTTTACATTCATAAATTTGTTTTATTAAAATATTAATATTATTAAAGTATTAATTATTAATTATTAAAATTGGTTGTTATTTTGTTATTTTTTTTAAATACAGTCCTGCAATCATACTTATCTCAATTATATCAGAATTTGATTTAAAAAATAAAAACCCAAGGGTCATTTTCATTTTTGCTTTAGATTTTTAGAGCCATGTTTTTGTCTCCTTGTTCAATACTTACATCTCTAGTTGTTCCAAAAAAGCCCATAATAGTGCACTTAGTACACTTCAAATTGTTATTTTCTACCATTTAATTACACTTAAAATACATTAAGTACAAAATTAGTGATTCCAAAATAATATCAAGTTAAATAATACTTAACAAACTTAAAGTATACTGATGATTAGTCTGGCTTCAAGTGTGCTCAAACATGCTAAAATTTTAATATACTTAGTTATTTTTCACAAGGATGAACCCCTCCCGACCCCACTAGGCATAAGGGTGTAAGAAAATGCATGATTGGATATGTTTTATTGATTCCAAGAAAATGTGTGTGGTTTCTGAACCTGCTTTCTCCAAGTACACCTCTCTGCAGCAAACAGAAAGGGACTGGAGCGAAGTCCTACTCGCCATAGATATGCTTCTCGCTTTTTCTGGAAATGAAACACCGGCGGAGAAGACTGACGTCATCACCTAAGGACAACAACTGAAAGAGGAGGTAGCGGATTTTGGTGGATTAAAGCAACGGCCAGCTCAGTGTTTATCCCCAGACTGTATCTAACGCCCCCATCGAAACCGTCTGCAACGTTGATAGTCGAAGCAGAGTGAAGACATTTCAAGGAAACGAGAAGTACGGGCTGAAAACAGTAACCGGGCCGAGAGAAGCAGAGTACTGTCTCCTTGGTGACCGTGAGGGGGTATGTTAATCATCAACAAGAACTCTTGATTGACTGAAACCGACATATTGACTTTGATTCTGAGCAGAATCTGTTTAAAAGCAGCTGACTTGTGGAGAATTGGTGTCAAATTATTCAGAACCACAATGATGAGTGCATTACTTTAAAAACACGTAAATATCAAGTGTAGCGTACAATGAATGAATGAGTGAAGGATTTGAACGAAGTTCGAATCAACACGTTGGGTATTTATGATTTGTCATTGCTGATATAATAGGATAGAAGCTAGCTGATTGTTACAGGGCACAAAAAATTAAGACTTACTGAAAAGATGTCTGGAAACACGGGTTGTAATGTAAAATATGACAGATTACTGGATTAAGGAAATTTCTAGTATACTACATGAAATCACACCTAACGATCTTTGAGAATTTGGAAACTGTTGCTCTCTATTTCCCAAATTTTTGGGGTGGGGGTGGTGGAAGGGGATGGGTATTTCGGCTTCCTGAAATAATCTGTTCCTCCTTCATAACATGGGAACAAATTACTTTACCAGCAAGACTGTGTTTATTCCTCTCATCATCAACAAAAAACAATCCTGTATAGTTGGTAAAATTTGCTCTTTATTTGCCAAAGTTATGAAGAATCATATGTATATGATTCTTCATAACTTTGGCAAATAAAACTGCCTGAAATAATCCATTGGCGCTCCATAACAATGGAAATAATTAATTTACCTGCATGTCTTTAATTGTGTTTAATCTTCTCTTCACAAACAACAGATCCTTTAAATGTGGTAACATTTGCTCATTATTTGAAGAAGTTATGAGAGACGAACCAAATATGTTAGCCACCTGAAATAAACTGATCCCCCCATAACATGGGAGCTAATTATTTTTTTCACAAACTCTTAACTGTATCTATTCATCTCATTACAAACAATAAATCCTGTATATATAGTAACATTTGCTCTTTATTTGCCAGAGTTACATGGGGGGAACCAATTATTTCAGCTGCCTGAAATAATCTATTCCCCCTCCAAAGAGCTTTGAACAGGGGAAAAGGTTATTTCAGACAGCTATTATTTGGTTCTCTCCTCCTAACTTGGGCAAATAAAACTTACAGGATTTATTGTTGATGTTGAGAGGAATAAACACAGTTAAGACTTGCTGGTAAATTAATTTGTTACCATGTTATGTAGGGGATCTACGGAAGACAATTAGGGGCACTGAAAAAAATAAATTCTGACATTTTTCTCAGAAAACATAAGAATTTTTTTTTCAGTGGCACAGAAATACATTTTATAATTCAGAGAAAAATGTCAGTATTCTGGCTGATGGGCGCCAGCAAGCAACCAGCTTCAGAATCACAGATGCAAGATGTGGCGGACAGCTAGCGTTCTGGATGTCTAATCCAGCAGAGATGTCTGATTTAAGTGACTTTTTATGTACCAGAGG